AGGGGAGCGGCAAAGGAGGCTCCCCACCCTAAAATGCAGGGTAAAACCTCGGGACTTCCCAACAGCGGCACTCCAGAACACCCCAAAGCAACAAGGCACGGATTGGAGAAAGAAAAGAGTGAGAGGCGAAGCCTCCCCGAGAGAAAATGGATGCAGAACACCAACACGTGTGCACACCGCCCGGAACCAAAACAAACTCCCACGGCGCATGCGCAGGACACAAAAGAAAAGTAGCCCAAGAAGGCGAGAAGTAGCCCAACCGGCGACAAGCATCCCAACCGGCTACAAGGAGCCCAACCAACCGGCCACAAGGAGCCCAACCGGCCACAAGGAGCCCAACCGGCCACAAGGAGCCCAACCGGCCACAAGGAGCCCAACCGGCCACAAGGAGCCCCAAACGGCTACAAGGAGCCCCAAACGGCTACAAGGAGCCCCAAACGGCTACAAGGAGCCCCAAACGGCTACAAGGAGCCCCAAACGGCTACAAGGAGCCCCAAACGGCTACAAGGAGCCCCAAACGGCTACAAGGAGCCCAAACGGCTAGCCCCAAACGGCTACAAGGAGCCCAAACGGCTACAAGGAGCCCAAACGGCTACAAGGAGCCCCAAACGGCTACAAGGAGCCCCAAACGGCTACAAGGAGCCCAAACGGCTACAAGGAGCCCAACCTGACCAGAACAGAAGGAACCAGTTTGGAGGCAAACTCCCGGGACACGTAGGAGGTAAGCTGCAAAGGCCAACTGCATCGCAGGCGAAGAGATGCGGGTAGCTGAAAACCACCTGAAGACGGAACCGAAGAAACCACAGGGACACGGAACCGAACCCGGGGAGGAGCAGAATCCAAGCCCAAATCGTACGCAGAGGGGGGGGGGGGGAAGAAAACCCCACTCCTTGCAACAGTAAGCCCCGCTCAGAAGGACGGAAATCCAGGCGGGGCGCAATGGAGCCCAAGGCCGCTCCTCCCCAACCCCAGGAGCCTCTACACCAGGCCCCGGGGCCGAGTCGACCTCCAAAGCCCCGACCTCACAAGAAAAAGCCGGGGCAGCCGAGAGAGCTGGAAGAGAAGGGGCCCACTTGTCAAATTCCGGAGCATCGGACTGGAATGCCTCCGCAGCTACCCCAGACGGGGCAACCCCCGAAACTGCCCAAGTCTCAGAACCTCTAACCCTGCCCCGACCCCGAAGCCTGCAGATGCGTAGGGGCCAGAAGCAGGAGGGGTAAAAAACAAGGGGGGCATGGAAGGAACCAAGGACGAAAGCGACCAAAACCCAAAAGTCTGGGTCCCTACACAAAGCGGGGCAGCATTGGGGCGTCCGGGGAAGCGACAAACCCGAGCGCGTTGCAACAACCTAACCCCACGCAAGCTGCCTGCACCCACTGGAATTCATCAGCAGACTGGGTGAATGGAGTCACGAACAAGCAACAAAGCTTGCAGGACTCAGGGTCGAATGTGTCACCGACACAACAGGCAGCATGACGGAGGCAAAAACAAGGAGAGTCACCCTGAGACAAAGGGACAGAGCAACCCTCAACTCGCACAAAGCGAGAGGGGACGCAAGGGTCTCCACTATCGGACCCGAGAGGCCCCGGGGGGTTTTCCAGGGCCCGTAGACTGGGTCTGCTAAGGGTTATCCCAGGCAGGGCACTGCTAACCGGCGCCCCAAACTACCAAGCAAACTGCTAAAGCTGAACCCCCGGGACGTGTCCACCCGTGAGGGTGAAGCAGGGGGTACCACAACACAAACGATCCTAATATAAGGGGGGGGGGACACAAGGCAGACCCCCCTACCAGGCAAAAACAAATATAAAAGAAAAACCACACAAGTGGACAATGTACCCAGAGGGAACAGAGCCGGCCGCTGTCATAGGTGAAAACTAGCTACGCAGTACCCTGCGCCCCACCAGTGCTATAACTACCACTTACCCCAAGGCAAACAAGGGAGGAAAACCCCCAAACACTCGGGGCGGCCAAACACCAAGCAGCGAAAAGCCAACAGAGGTAGACCCAAGGTGACTTGTGGAAAGTAACCCCAAGCCCCCAGGGTGGTACTTACAGGGCACTCAGGGAAGGTGACCCTAAGCACATGCAGCCCGAGTACCTGAGAATACTACTCCCAGCTCACACGACCACCGTAAGAGCAGCACTGCAAACAAGTCACAGCACTGAGACAAGACTGGAGCTGGAGCCACACGACCGTGCATGATCCCATCAGCCGAGGAACTGGGGCGGGGATCGCCGGCGTGGGTGTCTGGGGCTCCCCCTTACCCCTCCCGGGGAGGGAGGAGCTGCGCAGACATGCTGCTCCTGTGACGTTATGCTTGTTAGTTCGTTTTTCTGGGGAAGTTCTGTCCACTCGTTTGTCTATTTTTATTGTTAACCAGAATAGGGGTTTGTTTTGTGGCGCTAACCTTTCTGGGTGCCTGTCCCGGTCAATGGCAGATATAGAATGCTCCAAATCACATGTGCAATTCTATGGGCCATTGCTCCCCGTGCCTCTCTGAGGGGGCCAGGTTCTGGCTCGTGGTCCCCGGTAGGCTTAGAACTCCACCCACATCGACTGATGCAAAATAGTTAAGGGATCCATATCAGCCATGGATAGCTCTGGGGAGCCGTAGGGGCTCCCCCCAGAAATGCACGTGAAATCTTGCAGAATGGAGCAGAAGTAACAACCACCCTGAACGCAAGCTGGAGCGATTGGAACGCTGTGCGATAGGACGTGACAATATTCAGCATGAGAAGCCGGCCCAGAAAACGCCTAGAGAGAAAGGACAAAACAATTCGGCCTTAAATAGATGAAAACATCTGAAGAGAAGGAAAAAGATGGAAAGACCACCAAGAGACTTCATACTGTCGCTGAGAAGAAGACTACAAGTGGGACCCCATCAAAGAAGCCACCTGAACACCATAGAAATAGCGATACACTCACGTCAGAAAGACCAGATGCGAAGTGCGGAGTAGTAAAGCGAACCAGCTAATACTTCACTGGCCCGATCTGCTGGTAGAGGCAGAGCCGTAGAATGACGTCCGGGTTCGGACTCCAAGTAAGCAGCACCTAAAACCAAGATTGGGTCGACCACCATGGCACCAGGAGAAGACGCTCTCCTATAGGATTTTAAGTGAGCCAGGACCTGGAGTAACAGCTGGACTGGGGGAAAGAGGTACAGGAACCCCCACCTTGACGGCCTCACAGTCGGTGAACGGCACCATGTACAATGGGAGACGCCGAGACCATGCTGACGCGAAGAGGTCCACCTCCTGCGCCCGCACGTCCAGCAAAACCAAAGGAAGGATGCAGCGTTGATTGTCCACCCCGTGGAAAGACGAATGAAGCGGAACATGCCTTGAATGTGAACAGCCTGGAGAGCTAAACCCCGAGACCTCAGCAGAAGAGCTACCCAAAGCAACCAGCTCCAAAGAGTCACGGACCGAAGACACGAAGTTCCTCATTGAGAACTAATCACAAAATACACATGACATATATGACAAATTTTACAAATCTTATTTCTGCATTAATAAACTCTTGATTTATTTTATTTTGTCAATACTGTAGTAATAAATAGCTGGAACTTCCATAAATGAAAGTACCATTTTTGTTTATTGGTTTTATCATGAAAATATCCATTTAATTGTGTAATTTAATCTATTATATAAAGACAAGAAATACATTACTTTTAAAGCAAAAATAACAAATGGTTAAACACTCAATGGTAAGAAAAATATTAACTATGACAAACCATTACTAAATATCAGTGCACAGTTTTAAAGTTTGTTCAAAATGTTACACATTTGGTTACACATTTTGTCCTTATTAAAATATAAATACCTGTACATACAATTTATACTGTAATCAATTCCCTCCAGTACTCGTCAAAAGTATGGGGTGCACTGCACGAGGCGTCACATATTTATGGCGAAAAAAGAATAATGGTCTTGTGGGTTAAAGAGGTTAGACAGAAGTATGGGGCGGCTACATCACAGTACTCGTTAGCTGCCAGCAGGTACCTGAAGGAAAGGCGCCAGTTGGCTCCAGGCTGCCATGGTGAGTGGTTGTGTGCTGCATCTTGCTCTGCCACCCCGACTTGTTTTACACATTTTAATAGTGCATGTGGTTTTATATTGTTGCTATGGCACCTATCAAGAAACTAAGCAATGAAACCATTGCTCAGATCATTGTTTTAAAGGATGCAGACCACTAAACTAAGGGAGTAAATCTGTTGGTCAGTGCAGCTAAATCATCAGTGAGAAAGTATTCTGTGCAGTTTAGGGAGGAAAACAGAGATGTGATGCCATCACAAAAACCTTGGTTAGGGCGTTCCAGGAAAACTTCTTGAAGGTCTTTGAATGTTCTAAAATGTTCATTAGAGAGTACATCTTGCGTGACTACTGTATCTTGCCACATTTATGAGTTGAGTTATACTAGCCATATGCCAGCATCTTCTAACAGGATGGTGCACCTGCTCACATGCCAAATCTGTCACCAAGTGGCTTGATAACTGCATGGTACCTTTCACAAAGGATTGGCCAGGTAGCAGCTTGGATCTCAACCCAGCTGGGAACCTCTGGCACGTGGTTAAGAGGGAGCTGGAGAGCGAAGACAACCTCCATATCCAGGCTTGAGGAGGCTATTTGTCAGTCTTGGGCAAACATTTAATTGGAACACCTACCGCAACGCCTCCAAACTAGGAAGAATAAAAGCCACCTATCCAAGTATTATAAGGTAATTATAATATACAATTAAATAATACTTGAAATATTCTTATGTACAGTATTGTTTGTTGTGGGGAGGAAGGGGTGTAGGAGTGGGGTGCAACATACTTTTGACGAGTACTGTAAATTTTGTTCATAAAATATTGTAGTATTGCTAACTGTTTTTATATTTTGTTATATTTGCTGGATTTGGCATGCCCTTAGGCAAAGATACTATGATTGGTCACTGTACATTTATTTTAAACTTATTTCATACATATTTGCATACCAACTGAAATAATTTAACAACCAACCTTAAATTCCTCCGAGGTTTCATTAGACTTGACGATTCTATTAAGGTAAGCTTCAACTTCTTCATAGGGAATACGAATCGTGACAATTTCATAGATATTTTCTGTGCTGGAGTTCTCGTCGGTAAGATCACTTGTTACCACCTCACTATTGATCTGAAAATGGATTTCAAATTGTGTTTAGTATGCTACATATTTGTCATACCATTTTTACCTTTGTCATCTGTGTCCCTCCCTTATATCTGAGATGTCTTCTTGCTCCCAGGAACTGCCATCCAAGAGGGTGGCAATGACAAGAGACCTTCAGGCAGCTATGTTTAAATATGTCTGTCTGGTCTACATGCACTTTTCACTCTAGGTTCAGGTGTCCATAAGGCACTGGTACTGCTGAGCCTTGTAAAATACTAGGACCCCTGGACAACTCGACCCACAATAAAGAAGGAATGGTCAAAAAGTCATAGACAAAATTAAATAAATTACTGCTCTTAATAAAATGTAGGAAATATAAATTAAAACAAAACAAGGCACAAACTAACGATACGAGGCAATGGTTAACAACCCATAACCCATGCACCAAACAGAAGGACAGCACGAGAGCGAGAAACAACAAGAAATGAGCAGCCAACACCTGGGAGGACAGCCAACAATACCTGGTCCAGAAACACACGAGGTAAGCAGCACACGAACAAAGCAAGAAACTGACACAGCCATCAAGCAGGAATAAATGGGTAACAACCAACCATAAGAAGTGGCATAATACAAAACCTGGAGAAAATGGAAAGCGAAGTCCAATTGTAAAAGTGCAGCAGATTAAAATCGGAAAGCAAGGATAGAAACTCCAAAGAAAATCACAAATTTGGGGAAGTCCCTGGAAGTAGAGAAGAGAAAGAGAGCACCACAAATGATGTAATGCACTAAAAAAACATGGAATTTCCTGGCCAAAAGAAGGATTCCATGAAATAAATGAAAACTGGATCTGACCAAGAACCAAGGAGAGGCAAGGAAAAGCAAAACACTCAAATGGAAAAGAGATTTCAAATTCAGACCCCAGGAAGGGTCTATTGCTGAGTCCCACTACTGCTACCAAGAATGCTGAAGGTAAAAACCAAAACACACAACCCATTCAACCGAGTAGGGAAGACCTGGACTGAACCTGGATGGGGTTCTGGGAGTTGTTCTACTCCAAGCCAAGCCCAAGGCTCTTCGAGCAGCCTGCAGGCCCACATTTGCACCACAGCCCGGTTGGTCAAGGCACTTCTTAAAGAAAATTATCCAGCTTTTTCTTGAAGACTTCCAAGTTTGTTGCACTCTGGAAATTTCAATCATGAACTGCAGTATATTGTGAAGCAGCACAAATTAGAGCGTATCAGGGAAGACAGACAGAAAGGGATGAGACATAACTGCTTTTAAGTATAGTACATCTGTGGGGAAAACTGACTCGTGGGTTTATCTATTTATTTTATTTTATTTATTAATTTATTTATATTAATTTATTTCTTACATTAATTTATTTCGATAGTGGACTGTATGTTTAATTTTTCCACAAGTAGTTTCCTACACACGCGTGGGGGGTTTAATAATAATATATCATATCAATCAAAATTATCGATTGATAGGAAATGAGATACTAAGTTGTTAAGACTACAATGATTAGTGAATAAAATTTAAAGCCTTATCTCACTAGACGGCTTCAACATTTTGGTAATGGTGTAAACAAGTGAGTAACCAGCCAGACTCTTGGTCTGGCGACCTTATGTGCAGGATGGGACAAGATCGGTCACGTGGGCTCCCGTTTCTGAGTGACTCCATGTTAATAACTTCACGTCTCAATTTACCTGCCAATGAGTTTACACCCTAAAATTTGCCACACATAAATATTCAGTTTACATTTATATACTAATATTCTGAAATGAAAAGGTAAAATTATTGCTCATCCTTGAGTTTGTTTTGTTCATACAGCAAACCGTAAACAACATATTATATAATAAATAAGAGCTTTTGTAACATATTATGAATACTGTATAGATAAAATGCCTTCCCTGGATACGGTGGTGTCAATTTGTGCTGCCAAACTCCGCGAGAATAACTTGCTGTTTCCAAATACTCGGGAGGTCAACACGACACGTTTTCCATTCCAATTTGAAAAATGGTTAATCCCTCTCCCTCCCCATCGGTGTTTCCTCCAAATGCATATTTATCAAGAAGTGGAAAGAGAGTTCATATTTAATTTTATTTAGTACTGATAATTAAGTTCGTTCCAGGGAAATATTTTTATGATGTTTACAGTCCAGAGACTGATGTTTTAAAAATAAATCACATTATTTAGCTGGTGAATTTAATAGCGACATGGCAATGATATCCTCGTTTTCTTTGAATGAATAATTAAAATAATTTGTTAGTACAAAATCAGCAAAATTATCTGCATATTGTATTAAAAGTTAGTAAATGATGTTTTTTTCGACAACGTCAAGGGATATGTATAGATGGATATTGAGACTTTCATTATCAAGACTAGTAGTAGAACCTTAGAATGCCTACAAAACCTAGGAAAAATATGTACGAGAAATTATAAGTATTTCTCAAAGTGAGTTGTTGTTACGGCCCTCTCGGGTCGCAACTGGGTTCGTACTCTGATGTTATTAGAGGAAGTTGTATCCGGCCCCAAGCCAGTAGTGGCTTTCAAGGGATGAGATCCGTGACGCAAGTAAAATAAAAGGGGAAGGGAAAGAAAGGCAAAAACTTAAGATTATAATTACCTTCACCAATAAGTAATATATAAAAGTTACACAGGGGGAGGGGTATTAACACTACACAGGGGAAGTATATACACGGTCGTCTTCTCCTGAAGACGCGGGATCCTCTCGGTGCCAAGTCCTCGGTGCTCTCGTGGTCTCTTGACGAATCCTTCGATCAAGCTGAGTCTACCCCAGACACAGGCCAGCCAAAACAGTTCCACTGGGGGCACCGCCGTGGAGGCCGTCAACCACAAGTCCAGCAAACTGCTGGCAGGTTCCGGATCAGCAACGCTGTTCAGGCCACTCTACGAGCGATACTAGGGTAGTGCCCTAGTCAGGAGCCTCGTGTGATACCACAAATCACTCTCCTGTCCTCAATACCCCAGTGGTCAATCGTCTCCAGCAGTCGGTCCCGGGTACGACAATCCTTCTACTGCCACTTCACTGGCAGGGTAACACCACAGTGTTCTTCCGGGAGGCGACCCACAGCTGCTGCAGCAAAGCACAAGGTATGGGGACGGCTGCCTTGGGTAGACTGCCTCAACTTCCCTTACAGCAGTCCCAGGTCGACTCTGTAAGCAGACACGTCATCAATAACAGGGACACACTAAAGCACCTCACTTACAGGCTCAGACACAAACGCCCGACATATCCACTCCATAGATGGCGTTGTCGTCTGAGCACCACCTCACCAGAGGTCAGCAGCGGCGGTGTTGTGGGCTGAATGGGACTAGAAACTGGCCCTCGTAGCCAGTACGCCTCGTCTTCACCAGGTGTCGTCGTCCATTTGGAGGGGGTTTCGGGAGCTGACCCACAGATGGCGTGGTCGTCACTGCTCCGTGCTCGGACGCTGGACTCGGGTCCGTAACAGTTGTTGACAGCTGGACAACTCACAGAAAGTTGTGCAAAAAATAGAAAACTAAACATTTACAACAAATTCGCAAAGGAAGATGGAAGACCAGGAGCATGAGCTGTACCCTATAAAATTTGGAAATCACATAAAACTAATTTTTAATGAATGTGAGGTGTTAGATGTGATTTCCAAAATATTATGTGTGCTAAAGCCATATTTACTGATGTCAAGTCCTATATCATTACAACACTGTCATTAGAACTTCATACAAACCTGCGGTAGTGGAGCAGGAATCTTGAATTGAGGTTGTGGACGTATAGCAGGAGTATTGACTTGAGCTGTGGTTGAGACTAGTCTGGGGTCTGCATATGAAGTGTGAATTTCAGTTTTCGCTGTAATTTGTCTTGCAGATGCAAGCGAGTCATGATTTTCAACACCAAAACCTATTGTGTCATCATACAAAGCTTGATTGCCGCTGCCTGGAAATAATGATGATTATGTTCAACATTAATTCAAACATTTTCAGGTTCATTGTATTTCTATGCACTTAAGAAATTTCCTAATTGCAATTCATAAGTAACAGTAAACTGCCGAAGAAATTAGAATTGAAAGATATAGCCACAGACACATTTAAGTTCCATTCCCTCCAATATCGCTATAGCTCTGTACTAGTTACACAGATTAAAATTACTTCAATTACGAAATGAACCTGCTTCCATATTTCACATCTATTTTGTGCATATTATCTATTCTTGCTTACTCTCACTCTAAATCTATTTTATTCTCTTTAGATAAATAAATACACTTAAAGTACATAACATGCAAAAGTGGTTTAACCCTTAGTCAGTGGCTACGAAGGAATGGTCATATTCGTTTATGCACAAATAAATAACAAGATTCCAAAAATAATTTTTCATTATAGAATTATTTATTTGTATGCAAAATGTAAGAAAAAACATGAAAATGTGTTTATTTTATATTTTAAACGAATATTTATCGTTTCACTGGCTAGCGGCGCTCTGCAAGGCTGTGTCAGGAATTTGTCAACACCGGGTGCTCAACTGTGCTGATGATTTTTGTTTTGTCCTCGGATGTTTTACCGATTGCTTTATCACTTGTTTTACTCTAATTACATCCAAAGAGAGCTATTATATACATATTTGCATAATACATGTAAAACCCAGATAATAACTGCTTAAATCGTCATATTGTCGGAAAATCCGACACCATTTAATATATTATACAGATAATAGCTGTGTTGTATAAACAAGTTACCCATAGAAAACGTAACTTGTAGTGGAATTACCGTTTAAAGAAAACGGGATATCATCACCACATACTATTATAATTCACCATCTATTATGGTGGGAATTATTCTTAAATACATTAGTCTTTGGAATTTACCATCATAAAACATCTCATATAAATTAACTTAATTATCAATATTAAAGTAGAGTAAATGTGACCCTTCTATCACTTTCTGACATTTGGACAATGTAGGCCAGGCGTCAGTGGGGAAGGAGGGCAGCCATTGTTGATACGAGACCAGAGGCTCACACGGGAGCAAATTCGGCTCCTGTTAATTTTACTTGGACGTAGTGTTATGGAAACCAAGGGTGTACCATTTTCAACACGCTGTCAACAAATCAAGTTAAGTGTTCTTTCCGAAATCCGTTTATTTTCATTTATGGCCATTAATGTCATTATATAGGGTGTCCCGGTTAGAGCACGTGGGAGCCTCAAACTAAAGGTAATTAAGCCAGGTCTTTAAGGTTCCATGTATAGTGTTTTCTCTGATATAGCTTGTCATATATAGAATCTGGCTTTACAGCTAGCGCCCTTTTGACAGGTCAAGACGAGGAAGCAAGATTTTGTGCACCAGTTACTGGGTGATGGAAGCTACCTCAAAGAGGATAATTTGGTGTCTACACCCTAGTTATACCTGGTGGACTAACCTGCTGTACTATAAGATAAGGAACCTTTTCAATGTATGTAGTTAATACTGTAGTTTGATTGGCTGCATATATATAAATATAAACCCCCCCTAATGTGTAGAGGATCGATTTGTGAGATTATGATATTATTGCAGAAATACAGTACACTTAACATTATACAAATTGCTATCGAAGTATATAAATTAACATAAATATAAATTCATATAAATTAAATAAATATAAATCTCACAGGTCGGTTACCACATTAATTGGTCCTTCGAACCAGAATATTCGGTCCTTTGAACCCACATTTGGTCATCTTAGTACCGGATGAACCAGTTATCCAGTGGATTCATTAAATATACTAGTGCAGTGTTATTTAAACAAAGGCCAGCCAGTCAAAGACAGCGGCGAAGCCTCGTGGGAGCTCAGGAGCCCCCCCTCAACTGAGTTCAGCTTCGTCAGTGGTTTCATGCACACCCACAGATATTTGGTGGCGTGTTATTTCGTGAAATGACAGGGCTAATATTGAAGCCAGCCAAATTAGTGACTGTGTCTTCGCGATATTGTTCACGGATTTCGTGGTGTTACATTTCGCGAGAGATTATCCACGAATTTTGTGGACTTTATTTCGCGAGGTCACTAATAATATTTAATACTCTAGATAATATTAGAAGTTTCATAGAGGCTAATTAAGAGGCTATTATCAATAATTGTATATATTATTTCTCCAAAATAGAGAATTATTTAATATATACTGCACTAGTGTTCACAGTATAATATTTACTAATTGCCAACCCACAACAGGGTAGGATATGACTAGTTGAACTATTATTGTTCATCCTAGTCCCATTATTACCATAGTCAGTTGTACTATATTGAACAACCTAACACCATTAATGAATGGTCCAGACCCTATTTTGGGTGTAATTTTTATCAACTCGAGTTGAGTTGTATATATAATAATTTACTTATGATCATTACACCTTTGAGTGATTAATTAGTGTCTCTACCATCCTAGGGTGATATTGAGGAGCTAACCTAAAGGTACTTCCAGTGACACTGGTTTATCACTCAAATCATTAGTGTGTATGATTGTATATATATAATGTGTATTAATTTTAAGTGCTAACCTCTAGTTGAGGTAGGATTATTGCCTAGTGAGTGCAGAATTTTACCCTAGGCTACCATCAGTACTTGTTCAGTATTATGAGCAGCCCAAGTACAAGCCCCACAAGGCTTCACCAACTAGCCAATATGGATAATGCTGGCAATGAGAAAACTGCCATACATCTAGTACTACAATTGCTGGATTTACCTCAACCTGATCAGACTGCTGACTCATTACAATCCTTCAGCATGGAGTTTGAGTCACTACTAAGAACATTCAGTCTTAAGGTTGATATAACTACTAGTGAATGGATGACCAAAGTAGTCCTTCAACGAAAATTGTCCAGCGATATACTAAATGAATTATATGCACATCAACATAACACCATCCTGACAGTACAGGACATCACTGAAGGTTTGCATTTCATCATAAACAAACGACGAGCAAATGAGGAAGTTAAAGCCTCATGCAAGCCTTCAGAAATAGAAAATAATAGTCAATTAAAGGGTAAAACAACTACCCCAAATAAACATCAGTCAATTACTCTAACATCAAGTTGCAGAAAATCTGACAATGCAGCAGCAACCTCCAAGCCTACTGTTACTAGTTCACCCAAACCGGTAACTTCCAAACGTGCAGTAGGCTGGGGGACATGTATGTTCTGCAAAAAGAAACATTCAACATACCGTTGTGCTAATTATCCAACCAGATACACTCGTATGGAGCGACTCCAGGAATTAGGGAGATGTGCAAGGTGTCTCAAGTCACACAACACAGACTATTGTGATACCCAATTCAACACCTGTAACAGGTGTAGAAGAGGTAGGCACCATGCAGCACTGTGTAAATATACGAAATTAACGTATTCAAGACCCAAGGTGGAAGATAGCATTCCCACCACAGTACAGTACTGCAAGGTGCAACCAACAAAGAGTGTCCAATCGGCAAAGTCTAAAGGTAATACGACTTTGCCTACTGCCCAAATTACCATCCTGAATAAGAGGGCCAAGGTCCATACCCGTGGATTGTTTGACCAAGGATCCCAGAGAACATATATCACTAAAAGCTGGCAGATGAATTACAATTCAGGCCTGTAGCCCAGATGTCATTCAACATCTCAGGGTTTGTAACAGATGCAGGACCTCAAGTCTACCAGGTGGTACAACCATCAGTACGTTTAGGCAGGTACGTCTGTAGAGTACAAGCCATTGTGGTGGACAAAATACCAGTAGACCTACAAGTTCAAGGTCTGAGAGCAACAGCCAAATTCCTGAGAAATAGAGGAATAAAATTGGCAGATAATATTAAGTCTGATCACCTCACTGACTTCGGTCTCCTTGTTGGGACAGACTATTGTCATCGATTCATCGGTAGCCCTACTAAATATCAGGGTATAACCATGTTAAACTCTGCAGGAGGTAAATTACTCTCAGGCCCAGTATCAAGCCTGAGGAGACCTATGCCTGCAGATAAACAATACCAATAGAAATCTAAATTTGTCAGCTGATTATATTTCTCCAGTAGCATTATACTAAGGAGATTACAGCTGACTATAGTAACAGAGGTTGATGTTAGTATCATCATTTAAAGCTGAAGATGAGTTCATGAGGCCTCAGTGGCAAATCAGTGAACAGTAGCCTAAAACAGCTACAAGTCACTGCGACAAATGTCACTGAACCCACTGCAGTCTCAGAACTATGCTTTACTTTAATGATGGGCTATTCAATCTTCTGAATCAATTAACTAAATTAAACCTCAATAAATCTGATGACTGATTTGATACATTTATTATTTAATCAAGATGTATTCCATGGGCCTCAGTGTTTATATATCAGTGACCAGTTACCTGAACAAACTTCAAGTTATATCTAATGTCACTGATCTCACTGCAGTCCCTGAATCATACTTGACTGTAGTACTTGATCACATTCAGTCTTCTGGGTTAAATAATATGTAATTAGGCTTGAATATTAGCCTTTCAAGAGTTGACAGGGAAATGAAATCGCATTAGACTTCTAACCCCTGCAACTCTAGTACGGGACATCCGTCCTGTACGAACAGACGCACAAATGTGTGATTACTAACTACTAACATCAAATTAATCAAATAATTCGAAGGAGGAGTATCGGTGTTCGTCTGTTCTAATTAGGACTTCGACCCGTGAGCAGCCCCCTGGGGAATTATGTCAGAAAATCCGACACCATTTAATATATCATACAGATAATAGCTGTGTTGTATAAACAAGTTACCCATAGAAAACGTAACTTGTAGTGGAATTACCATTTAAAGAAAACGGGATATCATCACCACATACTATTATAATTCACCATCTATTATGGTGGGAATTATTCTTAAATACATTAGTCTTTGGACTTTACCATCATAAAACATCTCATATAAATTAACTTAATTATCAATATTAAAGTAGAGTAAATGTGACCCTTCTATCACTTTCTGACATTTGGACAATGTAGGCCAGGCGTCAGTGGGGAAGGAGGGCAGCCATTGTTGATACGAGACCAGAGGCTCACACGGGAGCAAATTCGGCTCCTGTTAATTTTACTTGGACGTAGTGTTATGGAAACCAAGGGTGTACCATTTTCAACACGCTGTCAACAAATCAAGTTAAGTGTTCTTTCCGAAACCCGTTTATTTTCATTTATGGCCATTAATGTCATTATATAGGGTGACCCGGTTAGAGCACGTGGGAGCCTCAAACTAAAGGTAATTAAGCCAGGTCTTTAAGGTTCCATGTATAGTGTTTTCTCTGATATAGCTTGTCATATATAGAATCTGGCTTTACAGCTAGCGCCCTTTTGACAGGTCAAGACGAGGAAGCAAGATTTTGTGCACCAGTTACTGGGTGATGGAAGCTACCTCAAAGAGGATAATTTGGTGTCTACACCCTAGTTATACCTGGTGGACCAACCTGCTGTACTATAAGATAAGGAACCTTTTCAATGTATGTAGTTAATACTGTAGTTTGATTGGCTGCACATATATAAATATAAACCCCCCCTAATGTGTAGAGGATCGATTTGTGAGATTATGACATTATTGCAGAAATACAGTACACTTAACATTATACAAATTGCTATCGAAGTATATAAATTAACGTAAATATAAATTCATATAAATTAAGTAAATATAAATCTCACAGGTCGGGTACCACACATATCACGATGACCGCATTCCTCAAGTAACATTCATGATGATAACTGCATTCCTACCATGAAATGGTGGCAGGATATTTTTTCAAGGGTCAAGATAAACTCCATTATATCCACATTGACCTATTATATCCAAATTTGCATTGCACATGCCTAGACAATAATTGTTTAAATCTTCATATGATGATAACTGAATTACCCTGGGAATCAACAATTGATATCCGCTGCCTAAGGATTATAGAAGTGGTCTGGATTAGGAATATGTAGTGCTTGTATGGTGCCCATATCTAAAGAAGCTCATCAACAAACTGGAAAAAGTGCAAAGCCATGCAACTAAATGGCTCCCAGAACTGAAGGACAAGAGCTATGAGGAAAGATTAGAGGCATTTAATACGTATGCCAAAACTAGAAGAGAAAGAGGTTATATTATCACTATGTACAAAATAGAATGGAATAGATAAGATTGATAGGGAAGAATTTCCGAGACCTGGAACCTCAAGAACAAGAGGTATAGATTTAAACTAACTAAACCAAGCTGCTGAAGAAATATATGAAAATTCTCTTTCAGAAACAGTGCTAGACGGTTGGAACAAGTTAGATGGGGAGGTGGAGGAGGCCAAAAACGTCAGTAGTTTCAAGGCGTTATATGACAGAGTGCTGGGAAGGCGGGACACCACGAACATAGTTCTCATCCTGTAACTTAGGTAATTACTAAATGTGCATAATCCATAAGTAAAACTATTTGTTTAATTAATAAACTGAAAGCTATAAGATATGTTAATGATTATTAATGTATAGTAATACTGTAAACTTGACACGAAAATAAAATTAAATATCATAAATATTGTACAGCTAAGACAATAATGTTAATGTGAGCGGGAGGGTTTGGTAGCCTGGTGTCAGCGATTTAACACACTGACTGCATGGTTCATAACATACGTAATCCCTCCCTCTCCCCTCCCTCACTACCACCCTCTCTCACTAACTCTTCCCCTCCCTCACTATCTCTCCCTGCCTCTCTCCCACTCTCATTACATCTCCCCCTCCCCTCCCCTCTCACTACCTCCCTCACGCATTGCCTCCCTCCCTCCCTCTCTCACTACATGCCTCCCTCTCGAACTGCCTCCATCACTTCCTTCCTCACTACCATCTCTCTCCCTATATATATATATAATATTATATATACAGTATATAATATATATATATATATAATATATATATATATATATATATATATATATATATATATATATATATATATATATATATATATAATATATATATATATATATATATAAACGGTATATATAATATTAGTGTTCAGTGAGAAACCACAAGGTCTCCTCTGAATACTTTTTATTTTCTTCTCCGAGGCTATGGGTCCCCACATTGGCACCAGAGGTGGTACCCTCACAAACTATATATATATATATATATATATATATATATATATATATATATATATATATATATATATATATATATATATATATTTATAATTTATCATGTAGTGTGGCAATATCAGTGAGACAGGAGCACGGTTGTTTCCTCACACGTCTAATACCTGTTAGATTCGGGAAATTAGAATTGCTGGACCTGTTCAGTTATAGGAGTTCCAGATGTCACTTTTTAATATTCATATATTTGTTAATTTACTGTAATTAAGCAGGTGGCATTGTAACTTATATTATTTGAAAGTAACTATTATATTTTATTTGCATTTTTATGTATTTTGAGAACAAGTGGTTGTTCAATTAGTTGTAAATATTAAAAAGTCCTTATTTACCATCCCTCATCCTGGATGAGGCGGAGGGAGCGAATGTTGGGGGGGTGTCCTGACGCCACGTAGCTCAGTAGCTGATAGACAAGCCTAGGGTCAACTGGTCTGATTACAGATAAGTGTCTGTTCTGTGTTTTATTTTCTGTTTGTGCATTAGTAGTACAGTTATCTGGAGTTACATATATATTAGTTCATATATCTGAATAGGTCATCTGATTTACTATTATACCTGAAGGAATAATTTCCTGAATTATTATACATTTTTATTTAATACAAATACTTTTATATATACAGGTGTAATATTTTTTTCCCTGGTGATTTTGGTTCTAATTATTTTGTATGTACGTAACTACGGGTTTATATTGGTTGCACGCGGATAGATACAGTCTTATTCATGTCCCTAGACTGTTAATTTCTTGTCTTTGTTAGTGCAACGAGCCGTAAAGTACAGTTACGTTACATGTGCTACTCTGTGTATATATATATACAATTCACTTAAATCAAAGCTAAACAGTAATAAAATGCTACTCAAACTGTTTCCATCAACTGTACCTTTGTTAAATGTGACAAATGACCACGGTTTCCCAGCACGTTTGTGATGCCTGTAAAGATAGAGATAAAAATTTAGTAACTGCACAATTACATACTTGAGTTATTATGATAATGGAAATAATTTGTGAACACCAGGAAATCACAATGGCATGATATATTTTTGTGAAAATCACTGGAGCAATCCGGGGATTCGAACCAGCGTTTTAGGACACCCCAGCTGTGTGCTTAATCCACTGTACCACAATACACTATAAATAATTTAATTTGGGATCCCTGTAAATCCACTCCACTAGGGGTCTTGAGGTACTGAGCTGATACCAAACGAAGTTTTTACAAATTGTGGGTGTACACTTTGGTGTAGGTAATGGGGTTCTACACCATATGCTTCCATCAAATACAGTAGGAAAGCCTAGAATATGAAGGGAGTGTAACGTGGAGAACCCAATTACCTACTCCAGAGTGTATGTGGGTAATTTGTAAAAACTTTGTGTGATATCAGATTGGTATCTCAAGTGAATTCAAGTTAAATTATTTATAGCATATTTTTGTGGTATATAGTGAGTTATGGTGTGCGGCTGGGGTGACTCAGAATGCTGGTTCAAATCCCCAGATTGCTCCAAATATTTTTGCAATAGTTCTTGAATTGTGTTATATATTATTCACACATTAGAAAATTTTGATTACTGTTGCAGGTTCAGTAGTGATGGAAAACTGAAGCAGCTGTTACAGTAGTAATGGCAGCTCACTCTTTGCAAATTACGTGGGAGGATTTTGTTGTAAGGCAATATGTTAGATTCCTTGGGTGTTCAATTGTCATTCATCAATGGATTTGTTAGTTCTAGCAAGAAATGTTGTACTAATTTATGCTTACTGCTATCATGTATCATTGCTGCCATTCCTTGGAAATATGGTTTCAATAGTACCAATCAGATGACCGCCTATCAACTGGTGATGGTGGGAATCCTTTCAACCACTGGTACTGCTACAAAATTCAATAGTTTCTTCTAATTCATTTTCACATCCCTTGCAAATCCCAGCATCCCAAACCAATGTTAAGGACTATCTTCTAGGCAGCTATCCTGAGTCTCTGTACCTATCCCCAACAAATTCTTCAGATGTTAATTATATGAGCCTACCAATAGAATTGTTCTATAACAAAGCACTCAAACTTTCAGCTTTCACTATTAATCATAAAAGGGCTAGAATAATTCTAGTTCATAAAGGTGATAATCTTGCTGAATTTAAAAATTTTAGAACTTCAATCCTACCCACATACTGTAGTCAAAAATATTTAAAAACTAACGAACAAACAGCTTTACTCCTATCTAGCCAAACATGCTATACTTAGTCTTTGCGAACATAGCTTCCAACTCCAGAAAAGCACCAGACACTTTAATTCTTGACTTGATACATGCAGCTGTTGACCTGTGTTAGGCTTTTGACACTATTAACCACAATAACCCCCTTCTCAAATTGCAACACTTATGGAGTCAGAGGTCACTCCCTTCAATACTTGTGATCTTACCACAGTGACAGTCACTGGTATAGTTTTGTGAATGATGCCACTTCTCCCACCTGGCCAATTGGCCAATTAACAGTGAACCCCACTCCTTACATTAATGTTCTTACATTACTGCAAAGCCACTAACACCACAGCATTTCGGGAAGGTCCTTAATCTAACAGATAAGAATATTATTGGGTACATTGTAGCAAAAATGTGAGTTCAACACAATAACAACAATATAAATTGATCGAAATGATTACAGTGGTGAAGTTGCATGTCCTAAGTACTAATGTTGGGTAAGTGGGTAGCATAAGATACAGTGAGCTTGAGGCAAAAGGTAGGAAACTATGAGGATGAAATTAGGTACCTTTTAGTTTTACTTTTGAATAAGGCATAGGTTTGAACATTTTTGAATTCATTAGGGAGTGAGTTCCATAGACTGGGTCCTTTTATTTGCATGGAATGTTCGCACAGATTTAGTTTGACTTTGGAGATATCAGAGATATATTTATTTCTGGTGTGGTGCTCATGGGTGCATAAAATGATGATCCCAGACATCATTTAGCACCCTTACTGCAATCCTTGATTATATTAAATGCCAAATCAGTTCACACACATTCAAGTGTACTTTATATCTATAAAACTAAACTGCAGTGCTAATCCTGACTCCAAACGCTCACTTCCTAGTAGGCTGTAACAGAACCCATGGACACCACAAGATAAAAAAATGTTTATTTAATATTCCTAGAGTGAAACTCAACTAAAGCAGATATGCTACGCAAATTAAGGTAAGGATCCAAAATTGTGGAATTACTGTATCTCCGAAATGAGGTAGAAACCTCTACTTCTCTCAACCAGCTTAAAAGAGAAACTAAGAAACATCTAATTAATATCATGTAATAAATTTCATTTACATTTCCTCATCCAAAATAAATAAAAACTTGTATTTTGCTATTATTGTAAATGTTAAGACACTAAATAGTCTGTCCTTTAATTTTTACCAGTATCACTTAAATATTGTATATCATTTGCTAATTTCTTTAACAGTTTATATATGTTAATTTAATTCTTTTTTATTATTATGTGTTCACCACATTAAACATTTGAATAATTTAACAGAATTATTACATACTAGAGGCTTTTTTAAATATGCATTTTATGTAAATAACTATTCAACCACTGTACTGTGTTTTCTGTATTTTGATTTTAAATACAAATTATTATTATTATTATTATTATTATTATTATTATTATTATTATTATTATTATCATTATTTGAAATAAACACCGAGATGGGTAAAATTGTTAACGCATACTGCTAATTGAAAATTTCAGTCCCTGTATCAATGATATATTGTTCTGCTAGCTAAATCATTCCAATATTAAGGTTTTTGAATTACCATGATCCTGGTTTTCAAGGTTTCAGTATACTGTGCTGATCAAAATTTACATTGTACTATTACATTTTAAGCAGATCATAATCTGCCTGAAACGTTATACGTGTTAGTGGCTTTACAAGAATGTAAAAACATCAATGTTACTCTCATAAACCGAATGTACCTTCCTGTATAAATCAATCAATCAATAACTAACCTGATATATACTGTTATACAGTATAAATCAGCAATAATGTCAAGGAGGAGGATGAATGCGAAGAGCAGCCAGCAGTAGGCTGCTGTTTCAGGTTCCCAGGGCTCGGCCACCACAACCTCTGATAGTTTTAACCATTTGTAACTGCTCACACCTGCAACATTCAGCATAAAAGTAAACCCAACATTGAGTGTAATGAAATGTTTCTTTCTGGATGAGCTCCAGTGACTTCCTGAAGCTATGTCACTTAGAGTGCTTCATACAAATTGGTCACACCAGATGCGCGAGTTCTGTTTGGCCTACCGGGGACCAGAGCCAAAAACTGGCCCCATCACAGAGGTGCAGAGAGCAGGTGACAATTCACCACCACACCTGGAAAATATCCAGATAATAAGCGAAGCTTTCTAGATAACTAGAGAGTTAACAAAGACTGAAGCCTCGAAACCATCACACAACTCTCAAATGATTCACACAGAACAAGAGAAACATTCAAAATTAGCGCAAAACTTATAGTACCAATGCCACCACCAAGTGACCCAGCTTTCACACACACAGCCAACTTCCCAGATCAGTTCAGGAGCTAATAAACAGCCCACCGACGAACCAACTAACTTGGTATGGAGGAAGGGAGTTAGGGAGCCGCTGGATCTCATCCAGAAATAGACAATTCATGATATTCAACGCTGGGCTTCTAGGGAATTCCATCCGAGGTGTTCTGAAGCAAACCACATAGAACAAAAATGGGACTTACCAGGGAGGAGGAGAGGCGGCATAATCTAGAACGAAGAAGAGAATCCAAGCCAGCAGACATGGCCTACGGCAACACACAACCAACTGGAACCAGGAACATTAACGAAATACTGGGCCGCCAGAACAATGTTAGAATGACAAAACTCCGAAGCCCAAATATCAGCCCAGGGCATGTTGGAGAAGACTGCAGCGCACTTACGAACATTATAGGCCCGAGTGTAGACCGCAGGTTGCATAGATTTGATGACAATGTGGATGATCTGGGAAATACGAGCCTTGGAACAGGGGACTAAGGAAAAGGGGTAAACCAACTAGACATCCACTGAGGCATAACTGGTGGCCTACAGGTAGTAGCCAAGAGCCACTACTGGACACAGTAAGTGATTCACCCCTTGCCAGGCGAACCAAGCACCGATCACAGACCTCTCTGAAATCTGATGAAGAATGAGTCTGCTAGAAGTAAAGATGGCTGCAAACAAATGAACCACCCACCAGGGCCAAAGGAACAAAGTCCCCGGTTCCAAGGAGTAGCCTGAAACTTCCCAACCGTACAGCTGGAGGTGAGAACCAACAAAAACACAACTTTGAAAACAATGTTATGAACCAAAGAGAAAACCCTAAAACGAGGTGAGGAGGGAGGGAATTATCAGGGAAAGTGCCAAGCCATTACGACTATATAGCACTTGGAAAGGGTCAGGATAAGGATTTGGGATGCGATAAGAGAAGGGTATGGTGCCCACATGGGGAATCAGATTCAAACCAAAGGAAAGAACCTTGAAGTAATCCTAATGCTCCACCACAAAACCTAACCAGTCCCTAAAACCAGTCCTGCAAACCCAGGCACATTTGAGCCAAGAAGGTCATATGGAAGCTTGGACAGGGTATGAAGATGTTCAAACCCGAAATCTTGAGGATTTACAAGTCCACCGAGCTTCTCTTTGGGAGCGAAAACAACTGGGACATCCCACCAAAGGACTGAGGTGAACTCGAGTCCAACCAATCTGTAATGACCAGATGTAGAGTCAAGGAGGATACCTGACCAAAGGCCACGATAGCCAATCTAAAAGGCCACGATAACCAATCTAAAAGGCCACGATAACTAATCTAAAAGGCCAATAAACTGTCACACCAGAAACTGGCAAAATTTGTCAAACGGCCTCTTCTGTGGTATCAAAGGGGCTAACCATGAAAGGGCTTGAATGTACCATGAGTGGAACCACCCTTCCGTGGTTCCACTCATGGAACACGTAGTTGCGATTTTTAGCAGAAATGGAATCCGACTCCCCAAGAAGTTGGTCGACTTCCTCGACCAACAGCAGGCGAGGTCCTAACCCTACCAGACCACTTCTGTGCGGGAGCTCAACCTCCCAAGAAAACAACAACCGATCAATAGGCCGATAGGAGAAGACCATAACAGTCAGAACTTAGGATACTACATCCTCCGAAAAGAGGAGAAGTGGACAAAGGGAAAGGGATCAAGCTATATCTAATGAACAGATCATCTTGAGTTATCTTGAGATGATTTCGGGGTTTAGCGTCCTCGTGGCCCGGTCCTTGACAAGGCCTCCTTTTTGTTACACAGCCCCAGGAAGCAGCCCGTAGAACCTGTCTAACTCCCAAGTACCTATTTACTGCTAGGTAACAGGGGCATTAGGGTGAAAGAAACTCTGCCCATTTGTTTCCGCCTTTACCGTTCATCGAACCCGGAACCTCAGGACTACGAATACAAAGCGCTGTCCACTCAGCTGTCAGGACATGGCCTGTTGACATAGGAAGTGGGCCGAGTAAAAGGCCCCCACCGCCTCCTGGAGGAGATGGGTGAGCATGTTGGGCATGGCCACCATGGCAGGAAGCGCAGGCCTCAAGGACTCTACAACTGGAGCAGCAGCAGTTGAAGCCACATTCTCATGTAGCTGTCCAGAATGGCCCTCCATGAGAACCCAAACCTGCAAGAGCATCCACTAATTGAAAATGAGCCTTGTAATCATCCACAATAAAACCCCCGAACAGCTTAAGACAGCTGCACATGGAACTGTAACTTGCCCATATTCCTGGGAGTGCCATAACAAACAGGCAGTCAAGCAAATGGCCCTTACAGGAACAATTCCAATAATGGCTGGCACTTAGCTTGAAGCAGAGGTGCTTGCCACATCTGAGAGACCCAAAACACTACTGATAAACATAAAAAATTCTTGATGTCCAGTGGACATTAGCGAAAAAACTGTTCAAGGAAGATGGCTGCATGCGAATATAAGGAAGGGACCCTTTTAATGTATTTTACTGATAAACACTGCAGACAGTGCATTTGAAGCTCCTGCCAAGGTATCAGCTAGCCTGCACATACATGCACAGTAGGCATATTCATCATTGATGAATTGTCCCCCTCAAAATGAATGTAAGCGAATGCTTCAGTTCTTATAGAAAAATTCACAAATACATTTGTGATTGTAAAAATTATTAAAATGTAAGTGCTAAATGTTAAAATTCAGTCTGAACTTCTAAAAGGAGTAATTAGAAACATGACTTGAAAGTCAAAAACATTGGAACTTTTGGTGGGAAAACAGAATGCAAGGTGACTGCCACTATGGGGTGAGAAGACGATTCTGAGAGGGACGCAAAGGAATAAGGTCACTTTCCTGTCATCTGTAAATTATCTTTTGCAGTGTCGGAGGTTCATGATCTCTGTAACCTTGACGCATCGGTTCAATGTGGTATGTGGTGATTGGTAAACAATATTGCATGATGTTAAAAATTGGATAGGATTGTTAAAGCTGACTTGTGAATGTCCCTGGTAGCCCTGGTAATGTTTTGATTCTAATCTTGAGTGTTGAATGCTATAACTTTTATTGAGGATTTAATACAAGTTCTGTTAAGTATTTCCAGAGTAAAATAACCGACACTGTATTCGTGTCCAATTCACTTGTCATAATAAATTTGTTAAGACATTCAGTGAACTGCTCACATTAAATTCTTTGGGAATTTCAGTCTATGTATGTCGTATATGTTCTCTGTATTTCTTCAGTTTCAGCAATCTCTCCCGCTCTGAACGAAAAAGTGAGTATTGAGCAATACTCAAGACGGGACAGCACCAATGGTTAGAATAGTACAACCATTGTGATGGGATCCCTAGATTTGAAGGTTCTCGTAATTCATCCTACTATTTTTCTGGCTGATGCAATATTTGCTTGGTTATGCTCCCTAAACGTCAGGTCGCCAGACATCATCATTCCCAGATTCTTTACATGCTGCTTTCCTACTATGGGCCGACTTGATTGTGTTTTGTACCTTGTATTTTGTTTAATTATGGTCCTCATTTTTACTGTACCTGAGTACCTGGCATTTATCACTGTTAAACATCATGTTATTTTCTCGTCGTAAACGTCCCTGTCTATAACCTCGGCTCCTGTTGCATTATTATTTGTTTCCCCACTCTTCCTGTGTGGCTGGTAGGCTTTTAATGAATGAAATTTCTTGATCATGAGTCATGGTATCTAGACGTTGTTTTAATATATTCCAAGTTGGCAAGTCATTGTTGCATACCCAAAGTAAATGACTAGCTTTCAGACCCGTGGTGTTGTTCACCTCTGTACAAGTCAAGTAAAATCTATTCTTACATATGTATCATGTAATTCCCGTTGCTTTGGTCTTGTCTCGAAGGTTTTGTTACAGTGACCACTAGTAAATTTGTTTATGGCCATTTTGCCTTTTTGCTGTTGTTTGACAGTGGTTTTAGAACACTGTACTTTTGGAAGGGAGCTCCCCCACAGTTGCCAAGTGTGTGCTGTTTTGTGTGAATGCCAAGCTCTTGTACTTGTTATCTAATCTAGAAATTGTGTAGTATTACAACATTCAATATGTTGTAATATTAAGCAACGCATGTGCATTGCTGAGCCACAGCAACCTTCTCCTGTCTCCCAGTCCTCCCCCACCATTCCCCTCCTCCCTCGTCCTCCCAACTCTTCCTCACTCCTCTCGTCCTCCCTACCATTTTCCCCTCCCCCGTCCCCTCGTCCTCCATACCATTTTCCCCTCCCCGTCTCCTCGTCCTCCCCACCATCCCCCACTCCCCTGTCCCCTTGTCCTCCCCACCATTTTCCATTCCCCTGTCCCCTCGTCCCCACTATCCCCAACTCCCCTGTCTCCTCGTCCTCCCCCACCATTCCCCACTCCCTCGTCTGATGCATTCCCAAATGATCTGATGTTCCCATCAAAAATTGGGAACATCAAATGATCTGATGTTCCTATCACTGAAATATAAAAAAACAGTTAAAAAAATGAAATGAAAAAATGGAAATATAAAAAATAAACTATACTCACGAAATGAACAGTATGGTAAACAACACAATTCAATTCCAACGCAATGTTCCACAAAATATTTAAATCAAAATTAAAATAAATCGAAATCTATGAAAATTCAATTTATCAATGAAATCAGAAACATTTAAATTGGAATCGTAACATTTAGTATAGTGTGTGTTGTTCTTACGAGCAACAGATGGCACTGTTTTAAAATAAAAAGCATGTTTTTACCTTTTACAGGTGTGGCATCTATACGTATACTCACGAAATGAACAGTTTGGTAAACAACACAGTTCAATTCCAATGTAAAGTCACACAAAATAATTAAATTAAAATGAAAATAAATCGAAATCTATGAAAATTCAATTTGTCAATGCAATCGGAAACATTGAAATAGAATCATAACATATTTAGTATTGAGTGCGGTGCTCTTACGTGCAACAAATGTCGCTGTTTCTTAAAAAAAGAATGTTTTACCTGTCACAGATGTGGCATCTATACTTATACTTACGAAATGAGCGGTATGGTAAACAATACAGCTCAATTCCAATGCAATGTCACACAAAATAATTAAAACAAAATGAAAATAAATAGAAATCTATGAAAATTCAATTTATCAATGCAATAGGAAACATTGAAATGGAATCCTAACATATTTAGTATAGCATGTGTTACTATTACGTGCAACAGATGGTGCTGTTTAATAAAAATACATGTTTTTACCTGTCATAGGTGTGGCATCTATATAGTAGGTATAAGAACATATTCGAATGAAACATTGTGTCAAAATTTCAAAGCAATTGGTGAAGAACTTTTGGAGATTACGGCGGGTGTTGTTCTTACGTCCAACAGATGGTGCTGTTTTTAAAAAAAACATAATTTTTCCTGTTACAGATGAAGCATGTATATAGTAGATATATAAAATACGTGCTTATTCAAATGCAATGTTGTGTCAAAATTTCAAAGCAATCGGTAAAGAGGTTTCGAACATTCCCCCCACATGAAAAACACAGTTTAAAAACAAATGTTTTTTTCCTTCACAGACGCGACAATTATATAATATGTATATAAAACCCCGCTCGGATGCGAATGGCATCCGTGAAAATTTCTGTGAAAATTTCTCGATCTTCTGTGAAAATTTCAAAGGAATCAGTGAAGAACTTTCGGAGATTAGAGATTTTGAACAAACATTAAAATTTTTAATTATATAGAATATTAAAAATCTTATGAATATAAAAATTTAAATTTGCAGCAGTAAATTAATGTACATAAGTAATGTGATAACATTCAAAAATATTTTGACCAAAATGACAAACCTAGTAGCTCCGTTCTTGCCATTATTCCTATATAATATTCATGCTGGTACTCCAGTGGACAGTTGAAGTAGTTATTGTAGGTGCGGCCATCACCTATTTCAAACTTCATTTCATCCTAAAGACAACAACAAGTCAACATTATTAAACACTTAATGTAAATTATATGCTGTAGGTATTAAATTTAATCTCTGCTTTTAATCAATTGATGGCTTAATGAATAAACAAATGTGTTAGTCTTATGTGACATCAACATGCCTCAATTTAATATAATACAGTACTATACATGGAAGCTCCCTCAACATTATATATTTAATTTGAATGCATTTATTCCAAATAAATTAAAGAGAACCACCACTGACTCAGACCTATCATTAAAAACAAAAATTGGCAATCAGAATCATAATAAATTGGCATTGATCAAATTACTACACCTGAGTAACGTACAGACTCCGGTCCACTACATATTATTATTAAATTATTATTATACATAAAGCCTCATATTGTGAGGCTAACTTTCATGACACAATAACGTGGCTGAAGATATGATGGCCAAACCACACATCAGACTTCATAGTGGTCCTGGACGGAGCGAAGAGTCGTCGTTTCTCCATCTTCTGATGTGTGGTTTGGTCATCCTAACTTATAACTTAGAGCACAATAGAATAAATAAATATATCTGACATTCCCCGAGTCTAAATGAAGATATGCCATGAAAATAAAGAGGTCTGAAATATAGAACTGCTTTGACTATGAAATAAATAATTGTGGAACAATCAAGTTAAAAATAGTGTTAAATGGTAAGTAGTGTACACAGTGAAGCATTAGATACCTAATGCTTCACTGTGTATCCAACTGACATCGATTGTTCCCTGATAGGAAAAAGGATAGTTTCTTCAGGGGCCTTAGTGTACAAGACATCAAATGATATAGACACTTTATGTCTTATGTACCTCATTCACCAGACCAGCAATCCACAGAGACTGTTGACACTGTTGGTTCGGGTTTGTCTGACGGGTGTGGATACGCCTGGTGTCATGCCCATTTTGAACATCCTGCCATCTATTCATTGGCAGCAACTTCAATATATCTTCTGTTATATTTGTTGTGTTATCGGCTGCCTTTTGAACCACCACAAACATAGACCTGGACAGATAAGAAGACATGATGGCATTACATCTTCACTTGCAGAGAAGAAGATAATGATTAAGCTTTTAAATGAACAGTCAATTGCAACTCTCAATTCTCTTATCTGCACACATTTCTTAAGGGATATTTAGTACAAAACCAAAGATAACAAGAATTTTTGCTTCTTCATGAAAAGCACAAAATTTAAATTTATAATATACGAGTGTGTCTGTATGTTTGTTTATGTTCCTGTTCAAAGTTGGGGGGTCATATATCTGGACCTTACTTCGCCCAAACTGAGAGAGATAATGATCTGGGTCGCCAGAATTCAAAAGAGGAACTGCGTATCAAGTGCCACGTCACATTCAAACCCTCAACATGATTTTTGGCCCTGGCTAACCCTGTAAATATTTTAAAACAACAAATTTAAAATCAATTATTTTCTCTTATAATTTTGTCTAAGCTCATTTATCCAGACTATATGGGAAGGACTCTTCACCGGATTAGCCATTCATCTGGATAAACAGAATTCTTACCAGGGAAGTTAAAGAACCCAGCGTTGAATGTGATGAAATGCCCTTTTCTGGGTGAGCCTCGGAAAGCAGAAAGCTCCCCTAACCCGACCCCCAGAGGCCAAAGTCAACAACAAACAGAGCCTCAGAAAATCTTGAACCGAAGGGACCACCACAAACCGAGGAGAAGAAAGATTGGAAAGCACTCTGTCCAAGGACCAAGACGGCTCAGACGGTGCATGAGCATTTTCGTGCTTTGTGCCGGAGGGGCACAAAACACGAGAAAGCTTACCCAGAAAGCAAGCTGGAGTGGCTCCGTCAGTGCCGCACAATACGAGGATATGGTATTAGGCACCAAATGACGATCTTGAAAAGCAAAGACAGAATGGACAAGACAACCTGATCCGAAAGAGAAGACAACCTACCAAGAGAGAGAAAATGGCGGAAAGAACACCAGAAAACATCATACTATTAGCGAGACGAAGCTCTCTGGTGGGACACCATTAACGAAGCCAGCTGAACACCATACAAATGGTGAGAAACCCGTATCAAAAAGACCAGACGCAACGAGCAGAGGAAAAGATTGAAGCAGCTGTGAACCGGACTGGTCCGACCTGCTGGAAGAGGCGGAACCATGTAAATGCCCTTGGGTCGCACACCGAGCAAGCAGCGCCTGTAACCAAGGCTGGGCCGGACACCAAGGGGTCACGAGGACAACTCTCCCTGGGAAGGACTGAGCCATAACCCGAAGCAGCAGCTGGACCAGGAAGAAGAAGTACAGGTAACTCCACCTCGACCAGTCCTGCCGAAAGGCGTCCACCGCCTTGTCTCTTTGTCGCCAGAGAAGAGCATAAAGCTCCACATCCCAACCCTCCAGAGGCCAAAGCCAACCAAAACAAGGCTTTCAGAAAACAGTTCCGAACCAAAGGTGCCACCACAAACCGAAGGGAGGAAAGAATAGAGAGCACCCGGTCCAAAGACCAAGACAGTTAAAGCAGCGCATGAGCAGGCCGAAGGTGAAAATACATGGGAGAGCTTGAGGAATGGGGCAAAAGTGACTCCATCCCTGAATGCAAGCTGGAGCGGCTCTGAAAACGCCGCACAATAAGAAGCGACAGTGTTCAGCATGAGATGCCGATCCAAAAAGAGCCAAGAAAGAAAGAAAGGAAAAAACCACCTTCACAGACACCGACAACACCCTCTGAAGGGAAAGGAAATGGTAGAAAGATCACTAGGAGACATCATCCTGTCGCCGAGACAAAGACCACAGGTGGAATACCACCAAAGAAGCCACCTGAACACCATACAAGTGGCGATATACCCATGTCAGAAAAACCTGACATGAAGAGTGGAAGAGTAAGTCAAACCAGCAAGGTAACTAAATGGCACGACCTGCTGAAAAAAGGTGGAGCCACCGAAAGACTCCTGGGTTTGGACACTGAGCAATCAGAGCCTGAAACAAGGCTGGGCCGGCCACCATGGGATCAGTAGACGCTCCTTCCTCTGATAAGATTCGAGCCGAGCCAGAACCTAATATCAACAGCTGGACCGGGAGATAAAGGTACAGAAACCCCCACGTCGACCAGTCCTACTGGAAGCGTCTACTGCGAAGACCTTGCAGTTGGGGAACGGCACCATGTATAATGGGAGACGACGAGATCATGTCGACACAAAGAGGTCCACCTCTGGATGCCCGTATGACCAACAAAGCCAAAGGAAAGAGGCGGTGTCGATCGTCCACTCCGTGGAAAGGGGAATGAAGCGTGACATGCCGTTGGACACTCCCCGAACATGAACGGCATGGAGAGCTAACCCCGAAAACTTAACAGAAGAGCTACCCGAAGCGACCAGTCCCAAAGAGCCACGCACCCCGGAGACCCTCCGCCCCCTCTGGTTAAGACAATGAACCACATGGGTGCAATTCAAATGAAGCCAATCAGAGAGTCTCGAGGAAGCCGAATCCACTGCAATGCCAGCCACATAGCCAAAACTCCAGCACTATACTGTGAGCCCTACAGAAGGACGGAGCCCAACGCCCCTGACCGAGCTGGTGAGCGCTGGTCATAAAGCTCCTGCCGAGAGACAAGGCATCCGTGAACACATCGAGCGTGAGAAGGGGGAAGGCGCCATGGTCCCGCGGCTACATGAGGCTCACATCAGCTTCCTCAGAGCTCTAGTAAACAGATGCCATTTTCTTTAAATATCGTGGGTAAAATTCCCGGGTGTGAGAGCCTCAGTACTGAGTGAGCAACCAAGGCTGGTGCACGCAGCATGAGCTAACAGCACTGCTGTTCAGCTTGTGACCACAGCATCGCCTAAAATGTCAAAATATATCTTTAACTGCTATTATTTAGTGATGATAGTATTATAGAAGACCCCTGACTACGATAAAAATGACCAGGATTCTGATAATAGCAGGATTGTGGTGATAATTAGCTCTGTGTATAGTATGGGGGGGGGGGGCGGGCGATGAGTCACAATAACGTGGCTAAAGTATGTTGACCAGACCACACACTAGAAGGTGAAGGGACGACGACGTTTCGGTCCATCCTGGACCATTCTCAAGTCGATTGAGGCGTAATCTTGGTGAGGGAGGCAGGTAGCGTCTACAGGTATCTACACAAATGTAGATACTTATATATATAACATATGTATATAGTGTAATAACAGCAAGAGGATTATATTCGGAGGAGCAATTTTGGTGAGGGAGGGAGGGAGCATCAGCTGACTGTGTGGCGACCTCTGTTATTGTCTGAACTCACCATACCAGCTTAGCTGTACAGTTATGGTAAACAAAACATGTAGATATTTATATATATCGTCTGTATATACCGTAATAAAAACAAAAACAGTATGGTGGGAGGAGGAATGTTGGCGAGGGAGGGAAGAAGATGGCCTTTGCTGGCTGGTGTGTGGCGGCCACTCTTTTTGTTTTGACACACCATACCAACTTAGTGGTTCGTTATGGTGAACAAAACAGTCGCCGTGGTGTAGTGGTAAGACACTCGCCTGGCGTTCCGCGAGCGCTATGTCATGGGTTCGTATCCTGGCCGGGGAGGATTTACTGGGCGCAATTCCTTAACTGTAGCCTCTGTTTAACGCAACAATAAAATGTGTACTTGGATGAAAAAACGATTCTTCGCGGCGGGGATCGTATTCCAGGGACCTGCCCGAAACGCTACGCGTACTAGTGGCTGTACAAGAATGTAACAACTCTTGTATATATCTCAAAAAAAAAAAAAAAAAACATGCAGATACTTATATATATTACGTATGTATATAGTGTAATAGCAGCAAAACTATTTGTTTATTGTTTTATGAACATAATAATTAATTCACTAATAGGCTCATCATAATTTTGAGTATAGCAAGGTTCATACATTTTTTTATATAAATATATCACACTACACACTATTGAATAATATTACTGCAAAAAACTAAGAAAAAATCAGAGATATTGAAATAATTACGTAATAATATCTTTGTGACAACTCCCGCCTGACAGCTTGGGTGGAACAGACGCTAGCTGTGTCAACGCCTCTTTTTCGTCAGACTTTCCCGCCCTATTGCAGCCAAAATATGTCACCTACGATTTTTTCCCCATGGTCAGGGGAACACAAATGAACACTTTTACAAGACAATTTTTTTTTTTTACTTTTTATTTCTTGTGCAGGGCAGTGTTGACGGCTACACTCCAGGGACTTTTTTCGTTTATTTTTGCAGGGAAATTCCTGCATGGGCCCTAAACATCTGAATGGCCCACTAAGTGTTGCTTGTTTCTGTTTTACTTATGCGGAGTGTGAATGTTTATGATTCATATGGTAACTCTTGAATTCCCCCACCCCCCAAGTACTACATTTACCGGAATGAAATACAGTAGCTCAGAAATCCGACAAAGTAAATATAATAAGCAACTATTTGAGCTGTGTCATCTAGTTGCTCCCAATCCCTGTTTTTCTTTCCCTTTCTTCTGTTCAGAGCATATCCTGTCCTTATTGAGGCCATTAGAGATGATGACCCTCAGGTAAATGAGAGAAGTCAGGTGTATTTTGTTACCAACAAGGTAAAGGGCTGATAGGCGAATATCTAGTTTGGTGGTTATGTGTAAACACATGGGAGTTCTTATATGACTGAGTTTTATATGAATGGATCACCTCATGGTCACTTTTTGGCTGTAGTGACCATGAGCTTTCCCATATCATTGAGGTCATTGTCCAAATATTAAAGCTACTTTGCCTTTCGTGGGCACTGCGGCCTATAGATTTTACCACCATCACCATACAAAACAAGTGAGAAAGGGGACTTACTTATTACCATCACCAGAAGTGATCAAGGAAGGCAAGCCGAGAGTGATCGTTGTGTTTGTCTTTTTTAGAATAGTTAGATCACCTGAAAACTCTGGCTCCATTGGCAATGTGCCCACTTCCTGTCTCAGCTTCTTCCCACAAAACAAGGAATTGCAACAAAATGTCTCAGCCTGGTAGCGCTTTCCTGGGTCCAGCTTCCCAAACTGTAAGAAAGATATTAAATTTAATTAAGAATTATTTTGTGAAAATAGTGCTCTGAGTGTAAAGAAATGCCACTTTCTGTGCAGTTCTACAGTAGCTACCTAGATCTTAAGGCACTGGTGTTGCAGTCTTCCAGTTGTACCAGGTCCCTGCAACTTTTATGGCACACGGATAACTGCAACCTGAATCTTGTTTTCTCTCTCAGAAGCATCGGAAACTGTTGCTTATTTTTATATTTTCTTTGCATTGTCTTTAAATTCAAATTTGTTTATGTACTTTGCCATGTTAAATAAGGTATACTCTGTGTGTGTGTGTGTGTGTGTGTGTGTGTGTGTGTGAGTGTGTGTGTGTGTGTGTGTGTGTGTGTGTATTCACCTAGTTGTGTTTGCGGGGATTGAGCTTTGCTCTTTCGGCCCGCCTCTCAACTGTCAATCAACTGTTTACTAACTACTACTTTTTTTTCCCCACACCCACACCACACGTGTGTGTGTACTCACCTAATTGTGCTTGCGGGGGTTAAGCTTTGGCTCTTTGGTCCCGCCTCTCAACTGTCAATCAACTGGTGTACAGATTCCTGAGCCTACTGGGCTCTATCATATCTACATTTGAAACTGTGTATGGAGTCAGCCTCCACCACATCACTTCCTAGTGCATTCCATTTACTAACTACTCTGACACTGAAAAAGTTCTTTCTAATGTCTCTGTGGCTCATTTGGGTACTCAGCTTCCACCTGTGTCCCCTTGTTCGCGTCCCTCCAGTGTTGAATAGTTCATCCTTGTTTACCCGGTCGATTCCCCTGAGGATATTGTAGGTTGTGATCATGTCCCTCCCTTACTCTTCTGTCTTCCAGTGTCGTAAGGTGCATTTCCCGCAGCCTTTCCTCATAACTCATGCCTCTTAGTTCTGGGACTAGTCTAGTAGCATACCTTTGAACTTTTTCCAGCTTCGTCTTGTGCTTGACAAGGTACGGGCTCCATGCTGGGGCCGCATACTCCAGGATTGGTCTTACATATGTGGTGTACAAGATTCTGAATGATTCCTTACACAGGTTCCTGAACGCCGTTCTGATGTTAGCCAGCCTTGCATATGCCACAGACGTTATTCTTTGTATGTGGGCTTCAGGAGACAGGTTTGGTGTGATATCAACTCCTAGATCTTTCTCTCTGTTTCATTAAGTACTTCATCTCCTATTCTGTATCCTGTGTCTGGCCTCCTGTTTTCACTGCCTAGTTTCATTACTTTGCATTTACTCGGGTTGAACTTCAACAGCCATTTGTTGGACCATTCACTCAGTCTATCTAGGTCATCTTGTAGCCTCCTACTATCATCCTCTGTTTCAATCCTCCTCATAATTTTTGCATCGTCGGCAAACATTGAGAGGAACGAATCTATACCCTCTGGGAGATCATTTACATATACCAAAAACAGTATAGGTCCAAGGACTGACCCCTGCGGGACTCCACTTGTAACGTCTCGCCAATCTGAGACCTCACCCCTCACAAAGACTCGTTGTCTCCTGTTGCTTAGGTACTCCTCTATCCACCGAAGTACCTTCCCTTTCACTCCAGCCTGCATCTCCAACTTTCGCACTAGCCTCTTGTGTGGCACTGTATCAAAGGCTTTCTGACAATCCAAAAATATGCAGCCTGCCCACCCTTCTCTTTCTTGCCTTATTTTTGTTGCCTGGTCGTAGAATTCAAGTAACCCTGTGAGGCAGGATATGCCATCCCTGAACCCATGTTGATGCTGTGTTACAAAGTTCCTTCCCTCCAGATGCTCCACTAGTTTTTTTCGCACAATCTTCTCTATCAGCTTGCATGGTATGCAGGTTATGGACACTGGCTTGTAGTTCACTGCCTCCTGTCTATCCCCTTTCTTGTATATCGGGACTACGTTAGCTGCTTTCCAAATATCTGGCAGTTCCCCTGTTGCCAGTGATTTGTTATACACTATGGAGAGTGGTAGGCACAGTTCTCGTGCTCCTTTAGAACCCAAGGGGAGATTCCATCTGGGCCTATAGCCTTTGTCACATCCAACTCTAGTAAACACTTCCTTACTTCCCCGCTGGTGTGTGTGAGTGTGTGTGTGTGTGTGTGTGTGTGTGTGTGTGTGTGTGTGTGTGTGTGTGTGTGTGTGTGTGTGTGTGAGAGAGAGAGAGAGAGAGAGAGAGACAGGAGAGAGAGAGAGAGAGAGAGAGAGAGAGAGAGAGAGAGAGAGAGAGAGAGAGAGAGAGAGAGAGAGAGAGAGAGAGAGAGAGAGAGAGAGAGAGAGAGAGAGAGAGGGAGAGAGAGAGAGAGAGAGAGAGAGAGAGAGAGAGAGAGAGAGAGAGAGAGAGAGAGAGAGAGAGAGAGAGAGAGAGAGAGAGAGAGAGAGAGAGAGACAGAGAGAGAGAGAGAGAGAGAGAGAGAGAGAGAGAGAGAGAGAGAGAGAGAGAGAGAGAGAGAGAGAGAGAGAGAGAGAGAGAGAGAGAGAGAGAGAGAGAGAGAGAGAGACAGAGACAGAGAGAGAGAGAGAGACAGTGTTACGGACCCGAGACCAGCGTCGGAGCACGGAGCAGCGACAACGCCATCTGTGAGTCCGCTCCCGAAACCCACTCCAAATGGACGACGCCATCTAGTGGTGACAGGATAGGCCACCAATAAGTGTTGGATTCCTGTCCTAGTCAGCTCATGACGTAACCGCTGCTGACCTCTGGTGAGGTAGTGCTTAGACAGTGAACGCCATCTATGGAGTGAAGAGGTGGACGTTTCTGTCTAAGCTTGTGAGTGAAGCATCCCAGTAATAATGACGTGTCTGATTGCAGAGTCGACCTGGGACTGCTGTGTTGGACGATGGAGCAGTCTACCCAAGGCAGCCAAGGTCTCTTCACCAGTCTGCTGAAGAAGCTGTGAGTCACCCCCAGACGAACTCTGTTGAGAGTAATAGCCTGCCTGAGGCGTGGCAGTGTTGGGAATCGCCTTATCCGGGGTTGGCTGGTGGAAGAGACCACCCACTGGGGTGCTGTATGAGGAGAGTGACCAGCGAGTCACACGAGGCTCCTGCCTAGGGCACGCAACCCTAAGTATCGGTCGAGGAGTGGCCTACACTGCGGAGCTGATCGGTACCTGCCAGCTACAAGCTGGATTGTGGTTGAAGGCCATCACGATGGGGCACCCAGTGGGACTGTGATTTGGCTGGCCTGTGGCCAGGGTAGATTCGTCGTAGAGTTTTTGTGGATTCATCGTGAGCCACGGAAGCCGAGACCAGGGCTACCTAGAAGAAGCATTGCAGAGTGTTGAGCATCTTCAGAGAGTGAGACCTCATTGTACATTGTGTAGTTATAATTCCCTTTTATGACTTTAAATTACGGTGGTGGAAATATATATCGGAAAATTGAAATATTTGTATCCCTCCCCCTTTAGGTTTACTTGCGTTACGGAACACACCCCTTGAAAGCCTCTACTAACTTGGTGCCGGATTCCCAAACTCTACTACCACCAGAGAAGAACCCGGTTGCGTCCCAGTAGGGCTGTAACAGAGAGAGACAGAGAGAGAGAGAGAGAGAGAGAGAGAGAGAGAGAGACAGAGAGAGAGAGAGAGAGAGAGAGAGAGAGAGAGAGAGAGAGAGAGAGAGAGAGAGAGAGAGAGAGAGAGAGAGAGAGAGAGAGAGAGAGAGAGAGGAGAGAGAGAGAGAGAGAGAGAGAGAGAGAGAGAGAGAGAGAGAGAGAGAGAGAGAGAGAGAGAGAGAGAGAGAGAGAGAGAGAGAGAGAAAGACAGAGACAGAGACACACCCTTGTGAAGTGAATAACCCAAAACCAAAAGAGAGACATAGAAACAGCAGTGTTAAATGTTGAAAAACAGTCTGGAACTCATGCATTTAGAAATCCCCGCCAGTACAATAGTCAGTTCTGCACATGTGCAGAGCATCGTCATAGCAGGAAAGCGTCATTCCCAGAACAGTGTAAACAGTAAAGAAAATACATGTTTAAAAAGTATATTCACTGCTGAAAAATATATAGAAACAACAGTGTTAAATGTTGAAAAATATTCGGAACTTTAGAAGACATGCAAATGAACTATTTAGAGTATATATAAGTGTGTGTATAAAACATTATTGGAACCGGGAGGTTTGAGAGAGATGCGCTAGCGGTCTCCTTCATGCGGTGGTGTGAAGGACCAGGAGAAGTGCAGTCGTCACTTGTATGACGTGTGCCGGTCTCCTACAGTAACGATAAGTGCATTGTATCTTATGGGCTATAGTGGTGCTCCTTCTGTGTATTAGTAAGTGATAGGCAGTTTTTAAAACTAAGTTTGTTTATAGAACCCTGGGTGTAGCTGGTGTTTTGTGTTATTCGGATTGTCACTCAGATTTCTGTAACACGGGTCTATATCCCATCTACTTTAATCTCCATTTGTAAAGTGTGTAAGTGTCATGACCTCGTATTGCTAAAACTCATGCTACCTTTGTAGTTACCAAGGAAGTTTAGGGTATTGTGGCGACCTAAAGTCCCAGTTTGTGTAGATCCAACAGTCATTTCACTCGTAATGCTTATGTTTGCTGAAAAGTATCCCGCTTGATCTCAACAATCCTGTAACGTAACAGGTACCCCATATCTATTCAGTGTAACTTGTGCTAACAACAGAAGACTTATGATTGATTAAATTCTAGTGGGGGGGGGGGGAGCTAACCTCCTCATGCGACCACCATATTTTAAGATGGACTATGAACATAGAAATCCACATAAAGGTCAAAGATGATGAATTCCTAGATTACCAGCGAGGTGACTATCAAGGGATGAGAGAGGAACTGAAAACCATCTCCTGGAGGGAGCTGATGGGCGAACATGGCACAGAAGCATCATGGCAAAATTTTAAGAGTGTCATCATGGAACTCGTTCATAAAAATGAACCGAAAAAAAATGAAACAGGAAAGGGAACTAGATGGATGACACAGGTCGTAAAACGTGCATTGGAAACCAAGAGGAAAAATGCATATTTATCCACGATGAACATCATTGATTAGGAGTTATACACAAGG